ATAAAAAAAAAACGGTTCTCCTTCGCCACAGTAACTAACAAAAATATTTTGTATTGATTGGGTGTCATTAGTTAGCTGAATCGCTTTGGAAGTAGTAGTGGTAGGAAGTTGATATTCTTTTATAAATAAGATATAACAAAATTTGTCGAAATGATTTCTTTTATTTCCGTATTTTTTAGTCTTTGGCATTTTTTCATGAAGCACAATATTAATTATTAACTGCGTGGTTCCCCTCTTGCAACACAAGATGTGCATTTCAAAATTTTTCATGACTTTTTCGACATGAAAATCGCTCAAGATTTGGCAGAGTTACTCAAATTTCCGTAAGGATTGCATAAAAAGTTGCCGAAAATTGCAAAAAGAAATTGCTATTACTTAAAACATTGGGACGTTTTTTGTTTTAAATTTGATGTAGACCAAAAATTAATTTTGGGACAGTTATAAAAAAGACCAAATGATCTACTGATACATCCTAATGCAGATGCATATTTACATATGTATGTTTGTTGTATGTGTCTTTTGTCTAACAATATTAAACATACATACATACATAAATCTTAAAAATATATGTACATATGTTTGCGTAGAATTTGCAAAATATATTTCTTAAAATAACTAATACAGAAATAATTATGTGATTTTAATTTAATCTTTAAAATCAAAGTACTTTCTCATCTGTTCATGTCCCAGCTGTGGGCACTAAAGTATGCACGTATATACATATGTATTTATGTATTATACCTATATAGTCAAAACAAGCTTACGCCTACGCAAATAACACATTGTACATAAAACAATGCATCAATTAGTTGGACATTTTATTTTATTTACTTTTTTTTCATCTTTTTTTCCCCCTTCTTCTTGAGCTCGTTGAGCATCTCCGTACTGATGTTCCTTGCGATTGATCATTGTTACTTATAGTGTGCAATATAAAGCGACACATAGCTAAATATATATATGTATATATGTATAAAAAAAAATGCTTATGTATGTAGTACAAACTTTAAAGTAAAATTTACTTGCAGCAGATAGTTCGTCGAGAACCAATTGAAATCTACTTTGGCGCGGTCATGGCGATGAGCTGTCATTTTGCGTCAGTTCAATGCCAATGACTTTTATTTAATGCAATTTCTTCGCTAATTCTTTAGTTAGTATGTATACGGATACATATGTACATATGTACACACAGCGCACACATATACATATATACATTTTAAATACAGTAATACATATAATTTTGTTAGCACCTTAAACAAATCCAGAAAGCATTTCCAATTCACGAAAGCAATTTAATTGAAATTTAAGTGCCAATAAAGAAGAAAAATAAGAAGAAGAAGAATTAAGTGAAACATGATTTTAGTTTTTTGAATTTTATACGGAATATTGATAGAAAATAAAAAAATCGTTTTTAAATTTAAATTGCTGGTGAAACTGGATGTAAATCAACGAAAGCTAAATAAATATCTTTCAGTATTATTTTATCAACATAAATATCATCATCTCTCCTTGCAATTATGTAACGCTATTGGACGTTGTCGTCTTGCTTTACGCCGATTATGTTGAACTTGTCTTGGTTACATGAAAACCGGCTAAAAATTTTGTTGCCGGACTAATTTTTGAGGTATTCGTCTGTATATGAATCGTTCGTGTAGCCTATCGGTATCGATATACTACTTAATAAGGCTGTAAAGCAAGCAAAAATAAACGGAAAAATGTTATATGAGAAGCTTTTTTTAGATGTTCGGACCAGAGATCGAACCCATATCCTGCGGAATTCTAACACTCACCCCTAATCAATCAGCTACAGCGGTTGATATATGTGTTTATAAAATGTACCTTTTTCTTATCAAAATTTTTAGTATAAAACAAGGCTCAGGATATATATATATTAGGGTGGTCCTTAAAAATAAAATGAGCGATTTCTTTCAGTCTCACCCCCTCAATCGGTAATACCACGGTCACAGATATCACATATAAATTTTGGTACCGATTGGAGTTTGTTAAGGCGTGTCGCAAAGGGGTCAAAGGCAGACTCAAAAAATTAAAATTTTTTTTCACTTAATACCCAAAATCGATACTTCTAAAGTCGAAGATATCGCATATAAAAATTTTGGTTCTTATTGGAGTCGGGTAAGACGTCTTCATAGGGTAATCTGATCTTTGACCCCTGTGCGACACGCCTTAACCGACTCTGATCGGGGTCGAAATTCATATGTGATATTTTCGACTGTAGTAGTATCGATTTTGGGTATTAGGTGAAAAAAAATTATTTTAATTTTTTGAGTCTCCATAGAGGAAGCTGAATTTTGCCCCCTGTGCGACACTCATAACCTTCTTCAACCAGGACCAAATTTTTTTTTTTACCGATTGAGGGGTGAGACT